AAGACCAGAGAGATTTTAAATACCCCAATTTTAGAAAGGAAATAGATCTCTGTAAAGGATCTACCAAAATAAAAAACTCCTGGTCATAATTCACTGGCAAATTCTATCACACTTTTAAAGAACAATTAGTACTCATACTTACAAATTATTCTCAAAATTATTAAGGTACTCCATCAGAATCCTTTTATGAGACACATAATAGTCCTAATACCTAATCCAAGAAAAAATAAAGCAGAGAAGGAAAACTAAAGGTCAACATCATTATAATGACTCAAAAATTTTAAACAAATTCTTATCAAATTACAATTTCACCAAGAAGTCATTCACTATGATCAAGTGGGGTCACAATATACTGGGGATGGAAGGATTGGGCAGATAAGCGGCACAGTGGATAGAGCACCAGGCCTAGAGTCAGTAAGACCTGAGTTTAAAAATCCAGCCTCAGACACTTACTAGCTATGTGACCCTGGACAAGTCACTTCACCCCGTTTACCTCAGTTTCCTCATCTGTAAAATGAGCTGGAGGAAGAAATGGCAAACTACTTCAATGTCTTTGCCAAGAAAACCCCAAATGTAGTCCCAAAGAGTCAGACACAACTGAAAAAAGACTGAAATGCAAGCATGGTTTAACATTGGGAAAATAATCAACATAATTAATCATATTAAAAACCGAAACATCCAAAACCACATAATTATCTCAATAGATGCTGAAAAAACATTTGACAAAATACAACACATATTTATGCTATAAACTCTACAAAGTATAGGCACTAAGGGATTTTAAAAAATGATAAAAAGTATCTATCAAAAACCAAAAGCAAACATTATATGCAATGAGTATAGACTAGAACTTTTTCTAATAAATTTGAGGGTGAAGCAAGGATTATCCATCCTTCCCACTTTTATTTGTTATACTTATGAAAATGCTAGCAACAGAAATAAGGCAAGAAAAAGAAATTTAAAGCACAAAGATCAGTGGAGAGGAGATAAAACAATCCCTATTTGCTGATATAATGGTATTCTTGGAAAACCCTAGGAAATGAGCAAAGACATCAATTGAGACAATAGTTGCCAAGCTTCAGGTTACAAAATCTATATAATAACAAAACCCAAGAAGCAAAAATAGAAGGGGATACTCCATGGCAAGTAACAAGAAAATACATAAAATATCCAAGGATTGATCTACCAAAGCACATACAAGACTTGTGTAGACTTAATTACAAAGTGTTCCTTAAAGAAATTAAAAAAACAACTCAGTGCCAATATAATAAAAATGACAATGCTACTGGAGTTAATTTACACTTTTATTGCTATACTAAACAAATTGCCTAGGGGATACTTTATAGAACTTGACAAAATAACCAAATTCATTTGGAAAAACAAAAGATCGCGAACACAAGCATCAAACATGCAGACCACGATACTCCCAAGTGCAGCCCGAACCAGATCACAGTATAAATGGCAACCAATCAAATAAACAAGAGGACACTTTACTAAACTTGATAAAATAACAAAATTCATCTGGAAAAGCAAGACTATCAAGTGAAATAACGAAAAAAAGTAGGGACAAAGAAGGAATAGTATTACTTCCAGACCTCAAACTACATTATTAAGCAGCAGTCATCAAAACCATCTGGTACTGGTTAAAGAACAGAGATCAATGGAACAGACTAGACAAACGAGAATCAGACAAAAACTGAATTCAATAGTCCAGGGTCTGGTAAAAATGGAAAACATAAATTACCTAGGAAAAATATCTTTATTTGATTTAAAAAAAATAAACTGGGAAACCTGGAAAGGAGTCTGGCAGAAAACAGCCATAGATCAACACCTATATTCCATAATACATTCTTTTTTTTTTTTTTGGTGAGGCAATCAGGGTTAAGTGACTAGCCCAGGGTCACACAGTAACTGTCAAGTGTCTGAGGCCAGATTTGAACTTAGGTCCTTCTGACTCCCATGGCTGGAGCTCTATCCACTGAGTCACTTAGCCCCCTCTACAATACATTCTTAATGGATAAGGGATCTTAATATTAAATATCATGTTATTAAAAAGTTAGGCGATAAACAGATACCATACTTTCACAGATGGGGGAAGATGTATTCTTAACCAAACAAGAGATAGAGGCAGTTACAAAGGATGATTACCTGACAATTGAAAAGCTTCTATAGACAAAATGAATGCACCTAAGCTAACAAGGGAAGTGGTTAAATGGGGAAAAAAATATTTGTATCAAATTTTTCTGATATATAAGCAATTATTAAATATATATAGCTAACAGCCATTCCCCACTATATAAATGGTCAAAAGATATGAATACTTCTCAAAAGAATGCTCCAAATCACTGACAAAGGAAATGCAAATTAAAACAATGCTGCCAACAGTCAATGTTGGAGGTGTCATGGAAGGATAGGTAGCACTATGAAATATGACCACTTTGGAAAGCAATTTGGAATTGTGCAAATAAAATTATTAAAATGTCTATATCCTTTGAACCAGAGGTTCCATTACTAAGCTTATACCTCAAGGAAGTCATCAATAAGAATAAAGTCGCCATGTATTCCAAAATATTTATAGTAGGTTTTTCTGTGACAGCAAAAAATTAGAAACAAAGCATTTGCCCATTGACTGCAGAAGAGCTAAACAAATTGTGGTACGTGAATGTAATTGAACATTACTGTGCCTTAAGAAACTACGTACGACTACAGAGAAGCACGGAGAGATCTACAACTACATGAACTGTTGCACTAAGCAGAGCTAAGAAAACAATATACACAGTAACTACAAAATAAATTTTAAGATCCAAACAAAAAAATTAAGTGACTGTTACAGTGACTGTAACAAAATTATAAAGATCAAGCATGACTTGAATAAAGAGATGAAACTTCCAACCTACCCCTTTTTTGTGGAGGTGAAAGGTCCACAGGTGTTACATACTGCACTTGCTTTCACACTTTTTCAACATATCCATCAGTTGTGCTTTTTTTTTTCCCTCTTCAAAAATACTATTTGCTATATAGGATGGTTCTCAGGAAATGAGAAAGATATAGAGGGAAATTACTGTGATGCAGGAAAACCAAATGACGTCAGTAAAGACATTTTAAAAAATGACTTCTATGAACTGATGCAGAATGATTTCAAATCAGAACCAAGACAATGTCCATATGAATGTAGTGACCAACTTTGAAACATTTCTTGAATGTAGGTGTGGAATGACACATATGATGTCACAGATGTCTGATGTGGGTTCTACTATTCTTCTTTGTTGTAAGTGGGGTTTCTTTCTTTTTTAAAGGCAATTGGGGTTAAGTGACTTGCTGTCACACAGCTAGTTAAGTGTCAAGTGTTTGGTCTGAAGCCAGCTTTGAACTCAGGTCCTCCCGACTTCAGGGCCGGTGTTCTATCCACTGCGCCACCTAGCTGCCCCTGTAAGTGGGGTTTCTATATGAAGGGGTAGGTACACAGCAACACAGATGTTTAAAAAAAACAACAAAGCATCAACAAGTAGTTCAAAAAATATCAACAGAAAAGACCAGGTAAGGTTAGGTTAGCAAATAAGGGCAGGAAATGAGCCAAGTGATTCATTTCAAATTTTGATTTATTGATTTATTACATCTCTGGATCTGGAGCTGTGAAGTAGAATTCTCTGACTGTAGCATGTTCAGGATTCTTCCCACAACTGCACGTGATCTATTTGGGGACGTGAGGAAACATTTAAGAAGGAAAAAAATCTGTACAAAAATTATTGGCAAGAAACAGAATGCTAACATTACACTTAGTACAATCACTCCACAGAATCCAATTGGATGATGTCACATCTCTAACTTGCACACACTTTATAGGCTGGAAAGGTTTTATTGACAAGCTTATTACTGCACATGCTTAAATACACTACAGTAAAGGTACAAAGTACATGATTGTGTGACTGTAACATGGCCAATCTGCCCTGTCACTATTACCTTATGAACATCTGTGCCACAAAAGGGGCTTAATCTCTAAAAATTTTCTGGTAAAAATCAAGTGAAACACCAAAGTTTAAAAAAAGAAAAAAAAGCAGTAGGGTTGGTAATCAAGTCATTATCAAAGCCTTTAATTCTCTGGAGAACCTGATGGATACCTAATCGCAGCACAACAAGAAAATTTCAGGTTACTTTGTAGACACCACTAATGAGCCATAAGCCTAAGAGCTGCTGGGAGGTCTCTTAGTAGTTGGATGGAATAATGTTAATTTTTACATCAAGTATACAGAACAACACACATTTTTCAAAGGGTCTTTACTAAGTTGAAGTACTTACACTATTGTCTTAAGTATCTCGATATTTCATCACATCAAAGTTTTAATTATACTTATCTAGATGATTTCTAAGTGTAGATGTTCTGTACCAGGAATGGGGAAACTAAAAAAAAAAATTTTAAGCATCATTGACAGACAGACAACATCTATGCCATTATAGAACACTGGATTTGGAATCAGAAAACTTAGACTTCACCATCTATGTGATGTCTTGGGCAAAGTCACTTCCTTTTTCTAATGCTCAGTCTCCTCAACTGTAAAATGACTGGATGCAATGGCCTCTAAAATCTCTTCCGCTAAATCCTAGGAGGGGGAGGGAGAGAGAGAGAGAGAGAGAGAGAGAAAGAGAGAGAGTGTGTCTGTGTGCGTCTGTGTCTCTGTGTGTGTGTGAGAGAATCGATATTTTCTGTGTACCATCAGTGCTTAAATAAAGAAAAATATCTCACCAGCTAAGCTACACTAGAAGTATATCTGTGTTACAGACACAGGGTACATTTACAGCTTATTGAAATAAGCTGGCCCAGCCTTGGGTAAAGAGGTAAGGCCTGGCAACCTAAAGAGCAGCCTGCAGGTAGCTGCTGCTCCTACCCATCAGAAATTTGATGGAATATAGTACTCAGTGTTTTCATGTTGGAGAGAAAAAGGCTTAAAATGAGACACACCCCCTCCCCATTTAGCTATTTCAAAAATCAACAGTGCTTCAAATCCCAGTATAAAGTATTTATTTAAACTCAACATTAACACAAAACCTTCCTTTAAATTCCATTTGTTTTTACAGTAAATAAAATTGTATTTCCCTCCTCCCCATGCATGATCACTGTGTATTAATCTACGTCTTTTAACTGTGAAAAAATAAAGTGTTTCCCCCCCCACCCCCTTTTGTAATTATATTGGTAATATCTGGCATACTGCACTGCATCATAAGGTGATAAAATGTAGACTTGCTAACTCCTGGTCTGCAGTTATTCCTGTAATTTCATGTCTTTTTTCTCTAAAATGTTAAGTTAAAGGAATCATTCACCCAATAAAAATAAATATTGCATTAAGATAGAAATTAAAGTTCTGCAGTATCCCTTTTCCTTAAATGACATTTCAAAAGTGGTTGTACTTAGAAGGCAGGGGTTGCTGGCTTGCTTTATTACACACAACTGTCACCTTACACACATACACAACTAACACTGTCAAAGTCCATCAAAGGCAGCAAAATCCCACGGATGAAGGAGAAAGATTGACAACATGAGAATTTGTTATGATAAAACCAGTAGAATGGACTTCAATATCTTCAGCCTCTTACCTACATGCTACAAAGATCCATTCAAATTAAAGCAAAACTCAGAACACACACATTTGAAAGGCTAAAAAATAAATCAGTTTTGATGGGCACAAGTTCCATTGTGATTTGAGATAGCCAATTCTTTTGTATTCCAAAAATTTGCTGCACTTCAAAAGGTACTTAGCTTGATGTTATCTAGCTAACGAAATGCACCCTTTCTTTTGGCATGCCTTGAAACACATTTGGCACCAGGCTCAGAGATAAAGCTAAAAACTACCCTGCCTTTCAAGACATTCCTTTGTGACAGCAAGTTAATGCGTTATTTTTCCCCCATAAGAAACTGAAACAAAATGATTTTGAAAGAGTAAAGTAACAGTAATGCCTGTGCTTTATTTTGTATTAATCTGAAAAGGAATACTGCATTTGAAACCATAAATGACTATATAACTCAATCAAAAGTCACTTGTCAGCATACTGAAAAGCTGCTAACAATCACTCCAATCAGTTCTTCTGGCTACCCTTTTTACATAAATAATATAGACCAAACATTATAAACATCTCAGCAACCTTCTTTTAACAGAATGGAGAGCCCTCCTAGTTGTGAAAAACAAAATTTCAGGGCTCATATTCTGAAAATGTCTTTTGAGTTATCAAGTTGTCTGATTCATGCAGTTCCTAGTGAAAAAAGTTTTCAATCGAGTTCAATAGGACTGCTATCTTCTTGACCATCTTCTGCATCCTCTTCCTCCCCTGATCCCATAAGACTGTTCAAAAGGTTCCCTACAATGAAATGAGAAATGAATGTTGCAAGGGGTCATAACCATCTCAAAGTGCATTTTTAAAGTTTCCAAATCTATCTTTTTCAACTAAGAATCTACAAAAAAACTTTTAAAGGAGTGTTCAGCCATTCTTGGTAAAGCCAGTGGTAGCAAGCAGGTACATTATAAACCTAGACAGCCTCAGAGGCCTCTAAACTATTTCTACGAATAAGTGATGGTTCTTGTTTACATAAGTACTACAGCAAGCCAAAAGAAATTACAGCTCCTTAACATAAGTTCCTATCATGTAACTTAGAGATGGAACATCTGGCTAAACAAAATATATATGACAATAGGGATTTAAATTCAAATGTTAAGCAAGGGCAGTTAGATTAGTAATATTTGCAAATAAATTTCTCTCAGGCTTTTTACCTAATAAGCCTCCATAGGATGACGTCTGCTTGGGTGGTACTCCAAAAAAGAGCTGTCCTATTCTATCAAGATACTGAAAAACAGGAAAGAGATGCTACTGTCAATTTACAAACAATGAAAAAGGAAGCTTGACCTACATAGCTCACACACATCCATCATTTTCATAACTCAACTCCTTATGCTAAGTGTTTTCAACAAACACTCAATTTTGGTTCAATTTATATCTTCAACAAGAGTTAACTCTATTCTATCCTACTGAAGGTAAAAGTAGGTTTGTGAAGTCCTTTTCATTTTAAATAGTATGAATTGTCCAATAATCCAATTGCTCAAATAAAACACAGCTGGCTACTAACCTCATTGTACATAGGATCTCTCTTGAGTGAGGGCTGATACTGCTCACATAATACTGTAAATACAGTTAGTTTGCCTCTGGGGAAAAAAAAAACAGAAAAGAACAATGAAACCTCAGGCCATAAACCAAAATGCTGCTGCTAATAAAAAAACAATAAAATTTACCCTTCAACAGCCAGCAGCAGAAACCAGATAAAGTTGAGCAAGGGCTGTACAAATGGAGGTCCCTTCTGTATTGAAGGATGTTTCTGCGTATATGTTGTGAATACCACTGAAGCACTGCTTTTATTTTTTAAACAGAGAAACCTAAGGAAAAAAATTAAGAAAATGCTATATTTTAGGAAGACCATAAAAAGTAGTATGATTTCATATTTTAAAATTTCACAGAAAGGTCAAAGTACATGGTTTATCAAAGAAAATTAATTTCTTTGTTTTTGATTTAATTTTTGCAAGTAATTATTATCCCTATCAAAAGGAATTAAAAAGAACTGGCCCAAATTAGACAAAACATTCATCAATTTGTTCTAATCCAAAGGTCTGAGAAGGAATCCTCTTATACTCTTCCTGCATACAATAACGAAAAGATGTATCCCTTGGAAAAACTCAAAATACTATGTGGCTATTACACTCACATAGTACATAAGTGCAATGCCACTAATACAGGCAAATTCCACACATACCATAACGTATATAAAGGTCATGTTAAGAGTCCTTTGGGTCAGGAAATAAGGAGCGTAAATAGCTTCTGTGTAACAGTCAAAGTATCACACTAACTTTTAATTTTCATGCTATAGTTGTACAACTGTATGTCACTAACATTTTTCATCTTAAGATCTCCACAAATAATAATCTCAGAACATTTTGGGTGTACAAAAATAAGCTGCCTATAATGAAAAAATTCATTAAAAGTATTAAGTTTGGTTCTAGAGAGAATATTTAGAACAAGGAAAAGCTCTATATTTTAAACTTTTACACCAATTTAGTTTCAAGGCATTGTTGTATACCTCATATTTTCTAATATGCTGTAAGATGCTTGAAGGCAAGAACACATCTTAGATGCTCAACATATACCTTTGTCAATGAACCATCTATCACAAAAACCTACATGGTAAAGCCTTAAGCAAAGCAAGCACAAACCAGAGTATTAACTTCTGCACTTGAACTTTCACAAAGCAAATCCTATTCAAATGCATCCATATGCCAAACCAAATTGGGTTTTAGTAGAATAGAAAAAAAAATTACACATGTGAAAATTATGCATAAAGGAGAAAGAAGATTTGGAAAAAATCACACAGCCCAAGCATCTAGGATGGATGACCTCTGCCCTGTTTAGAATCTACAACACATTTAGGCTAGTCTCTTGTCTTTGCTTCCTCTGTCTTTTGGGGGGGGTCTCCACTTCTGTAAATCCTTCATCACACTTTAAAAATATTAATAAAAGTCAATGCTACACAGAATCATTATTTACAAACAAAAATGTTGGGTAAGAAAATCAAATTTCAGTTTCAGTGTTATCTTATTTACAGTAAAGAAAACCTTAAGGCATTTCTCATAATTAATCAAACATGTATTTCCTTTCAGAGACAAACTGGCTTAGAAGAGAAAGATAATGGTTTGGTTTTTCAAATACATCTTTTTTTTTTGGCTAGGCAATGGGGTTAAAAGTGACCGCCCAGCTAGTAAGTGTTATGTGTCTGAGGTCGCATTTGAACTCAGATCCTCCTGAATCCAGAGTCAGTGCTCTATCCACTGCACCACCTAGCTGCCCCTTCAAACACATATTGGAAATGAAACTAATCTAATTTGTAGGTCTTCCAAAGCAATTCTGGTGCTGCTCAATTAAAATAAAAAGTGATTTAGAAGTTCAAATAAGTTACCATAAAAATTACGACTTGCAAAAAGTTTTGACCTTCAAAGGTTATTAGCAAGGCATGTTTCCTAAAAAAAAAAAAAGTATTGAACCTACAGTCTACATCTTAAGATTCTGCTGCAAACTAGTTTTTTAAGCTGCTCTAGAATACAAGTTAGTTAATATAATCAAATATTTTCAAAGTAAACACTCTTTAAATGGACAAAATAGAAACACCTACTGTAAGACCGCCTGTGCTACAAACATGTCCACCTCACTGCGATATCCTCGAGAGGCAGAATATTCTACTAACATATTTGCACAACCTTCTCCATCTGTGGAGTGCAGAAAATGATACCGAGACTCACAATAATTCTGTTCTAGAAGGGAAGAAAAGAAAAATATTTAGTATTATTTTGATAGTTTTTAAAATAGAACTTTTTTGTCAAACATTTTCTGCTAAAATTATTTTCTGGCATAGCTCAAGATCAAATTAAGATCTTGCATCTGAAACAGAGAAGAAAAATTAGCTTGGTCATTAATAAAAGTTCTACAGCCAAAAAAATTAATGAAAACAAAACAGCCCACTTTAACACAAAACGTTCCCACCTACATAAATAAGTTGTTTGAAGTTCACAGACCTGTTGAAAGTAGAGACTGAAAGTCATATATCTGAACTAAAAACAAACAATGCTGTCCCTTACTTAAACTAAGTAAGAAATAAGAAAAGATGTGAAAAATTCACTAAAAAATAATGAGTCGCTACCTCAACTGTTTGCTAACACTCTTCCCTGTTAGAAATAACCTATCTTTTGGAAATATGCCCAAAGGGCTATAAAAATGTGCATATCTTTTGAGCCAGCAATGTTACTTCTGGGGCTATATAACAAAGAGATCATAAAAATGGGAAAAGGACCCACGCGTACAAAAATATTTATAGCAGCTCTTTTTGTGGTGGCAAAGAATTGGAAATTGAGAGGACGCCCATCAATTGAGGAATGGCCGAACAAGTTGTAGTATATGAATGCAATGGAATACTATTGTGCTGTTAGAAATGATGAACAGACAGACTTCAGAAAAACTTAGAAAGACTTGTATGGTCTGATGCTGAGTGAAGTAAGCAGAATATTAAAAATGTTGTACACAGTAACAGCCACCTTGTGCGATGACTAACACTGATTGACTAAAGCCTTCTCAGCAATTCAAAGATCTAACACAACTCCAAAGGCCTCATGATGGAAAATGCTATCCACATCCAAAGAAAGAACTATGGAGTTTGAATGCAGATAGAAGCATACTATTTGCTATTTTTTTCTTCTGTTGTGCTTTGCTTCCTCTTTCTGATGGTTCCTCCTATTGGTTCTAATTCTTTCTTACCACATCACTAATGCAAAAATACGTTTAATAGGAATGTACATGTATAGCCTATATCAGATTGCGTGTCCTCTTGGGGAGGGAGGGGGAGAAAAATTTAAAACTCAAAAGCTTATGGAAGTGATTGTTGATAAATCAAAATAAATTAATTTTAAAAAAAAGAAATAATCTATCTTTGACTTACATATTTTGACTAAAGAACTAATTTCAAAGCTACAGCAGTGAAAACAGATTAGCAAATTCATTAGGTTCCTGTTAACATTTTTTTAATCAAATCTAATTCAATATATACAACTGACCCACAAAAATACAAAATAGAAAGAAGTCTCTGCTGTAAAGGAACTATCTATTAGTTTATTAGTTTCTTTTTAATCAATTCTCATCCTAACTGTACCTTCAGTTCTTGAAATTCTACCTTTCGAGGCACAGTTCAAATATCTCTTCTATAAAACATACCTCCATCCAACTTCCACCACCCCCAAACTGGAAATACTTCCCATACTTCTTCTAAACTCTGAATATCTATAATACTTATGCTTTCATCATTTTTTAATTTGAACTACAATTATGTGTATGTCATATCTCTCCTATCATACTACAATTTACTGAAGACTAGCGCCCTGTCCTGTTGGTCCTTGTATTTCCCTTGGTGACTTAATAATACCTTGCCATATAGAAGTAAATATTGAAAACACAATCACTAGTTATTGATGATAGATTCTGACAAAAAAATTTAGTTCAATACTTTCCAACAGTGACTCAAACTTCAGTCAAATGTTAGTATTTATAATCAAGGCACAAGATCTTACTTTAGCTAAAAGAGATTTTCCTTCACAAAAGAACAAGCTGAAATTCTAATTCCATGAATTTGCTAATAGTTCTGTAAAGACTTTAGATATAGCACAAGCTTCTTGAGTAGAACTGTTTTGCCAAACTTAATTGTAAAGCATATATATGAAGAGAAAGGCAAAGGTGAAATTTAGAGGAATAAAATAAATCTCTAAAAAAGGAAGAGAGGATTTTTTTAAAGGGAGATAACAGAAGATCCAGGAAACCCTTCAGATTAAAAAAAAATAAAAACTGTGAAGATGGAAAAAATTATCAATACAGAGTCTATAACTGGGTCAAGACAAAAATAAAAAGACAATACTGATGACATATGTTTTATGAAATGATTAAAATAGGAACAATAAAAGTTATGTGGTACAGTAGAGAATTTCTTTCAGCCTATCTGAATCCTAGCTTTTAAAATGCTTATTTATGGCATGTGGAATAAAAGTCTCAAATTAGAGATTATCTAATAATAATGAGAGGCAGCATGGCACAGTGGGTGGAGAGCTGGCTTCAAAGGCAGAAAGACCTAGTCAAGTTCCCCCTCTGACAAATACCCCAAGATGTACGGCCTTGGGCAGGACATTTAACCCCTCAGGGCTCTGGGCTGAAGAGCAGATACTAACATATACTGGTAAAAGGAGCTTTGTCTTCACTCTCCCAAGGAAATCACAGGACCGGTCCCTACCCCCTTGATAATAGCTTTACAATTTATAAAAGGGTCTATAGTAACTAGATCTAATTTGACAAATAAAAAAATAAAAGCTCAAAAATGGTGAAATAACTTGTCCAAGGTTACAAGCCACATTAGAACCTTGATGACTGCCCCCACACCCATGTATATCAGGTCTTCTGTCCCTGGGCAAAGTACAATGACTGAGCAAACAGATCACAATTTAAAAAAAAAAATCTGAACTTTTCATAGAAATATATGAAAAAGAAAAATTCCCCTAAAAAATGTCTTTTGTCCTGAGGCTCCAGGTACTCTTTTTCACTCAAAAAAAAAAAGGTAAAAGAAACACTTGGACTATGCTCAGAGGTGGTTAATTATTTTCATTAGTGAACCTTCTTTTTATCAAAAAGGACTGATAAAGCACCTCTCTGCACATGTAAGGAGACAAGGTGATGCACAAGCTACATAAAGAATATGGAGCTAAAGAAGAGAGGCAGTGTGGAGGCCAATGGAATGAGAGAACCTGGATTCAAATTCCACTTTTCCCACTTACTACATTGTTGAAGCCTTGGTCAAGTCACTCAACTTCTCTAAGCCTCAGTTTATTCATTTCTAAAATGAGGAAGGCCTTACATTAGATGCCCCATCAGGTCTTTTCTAGTTGTAAATCTATGACTCGCTAAGCACTGATAACTAAACTCTACTAAAGAGGGGCAGGGCAAAAAGGCTGGATTAATAAAAAGTCTCAATTACTCAGCTTAAACTTTTTTATTTATTCAAGAAATGCAATTCCACTGGTTTTTTCCTTCCAGTTTCATTACTTTCAAGAATTAAATAAATAGTCTTTACAGGTTTCTGCTAAAAGAGAAAGAAAAATCTGAGGAAAGGTAGAGGTAACAATATCCTGTATTTTCTGAAACAGTCCTGATTTCAAGAAAAGAAAGCCTACTTTTAATGAAGTTTTACCAAAGAAATATTTCCAGACCATGTGTCCTGATTTTAGCTTCAGAGATTAGTCACTTTAAATATGGAAAATGAATGGAAGAGCTAAGTAGTCACAGGTTTCCCAACTCTTCTCAGGTTGTAAGAGAGCATCTCTTACCAGATCCATTTCTATTTCCATTATAATGAATATAAAAATTCTTTGTGATGACCATTTTAATCGCTGGTATGATACTTGAATGTGCAAGAAAAGTATCTTAAAAGTTCTCTTAGATACTCTAAACTTGTTTACATAATTAATTTACATTAAGAAGAGTTTACAATGTAAAGATATATTTCAGCCTAACTCTCTGAATTCCAAATGACTGGCAATTAATGAAGTTTCACTGTATTACAATTCATTTCAGCATAGTTAGGTTAGCTAAAGTATCAAACCAAAGTGTTCTTAAAGGTTTACTGAAAGTCAACAGGTTAAATATAGAAGCAAAAAGTACAGACACCTGAATTTGGACAAATGCTTCTTGAAGCATTTTAAAGAACACCCCAACATCTCTCAATCTAGAGCTGTAATGCACTATTTTAATTACAAAGTGAAAATTAAAATAAAGGTCATATGGCCACACCATATCAATACTCTAATAAAAGGTTATATTTATGCAAGTAATCTCTATTATTCATCAACTCACTGTTTTACATTTACATAACATTTCATTTCAGAGCACTTTCACATTCTTCAACTTTTTATAAGCTGTAGTTTAATCCAAGCTAAAAGGACCCTTTTAAATGTCATTTAGTCTAGCCCTTTCAATTTGCAGAAGGGGAAACTGGGACCCAGAGAAGTTAAATGATTCAAATATAGTTACACAGCCATTAAATAGCAAATCGAGGAGCTGAGCCTAAATCTTCTGACTTCAAAGCTAGTGCCCCCCTATGCAGCAGGTAGGGATCTCCTTTTACACCCATGAAATTGTAGCTCCCTAGCTACATTCCAATACTAAAGTGACCCAAAGGAAAGATTCTTACCTTTCCATAGCGTGATAGCCAATAACTGGTGTAGTTTTGGATGACCCAATTTCCCTGATCCACCACTGGACCATTTCAGTGCTCTGGATACAAATGCCACTCTTTCTGGAGAATTTGGATCCATCAAACTAAACACTTTAGCCAAATTTTCTAAAAGCAATATAAACATAGATCCTTAATCAAAGCAAACACATATTGAGTGTTCTGTGAATATACTACAGCTTACAAATCAACTCTTTTAAAGAAAGTTGCAGAACATTTAAAAAGATATGTACCAAATGTACTATTTAAATTCATATTAATTCTGAGAATTGTTAATATCCAATTGACCTCTCCGCTGCAGTGCCAGAAGCCATACTCTCCCTTAGTGAGTAGGAAGGGAAAAAAAAATATTTCCTGCCTCACTGCTTAGTCCAGATGTGAAGAAGTTGGGGGGCAGGGAAGGCTGCAGTGGGGAGGTTGGCCCCTGCGGAAGAATGAAATCTAGAATGGGGCAACACTATCAGGGGACTGGGGAGTAAATGTGCCAGGATGGAGTCTTAGAAACATTACAGACTCCTCAATTTTATTCTCCATTTTGTCGACAGGCCTCTGGAAGAGTGGTGGAGGCAAGGGGTGGCTAGGCCTCTCCATAGTCTTTCCAGCTGGGAAGCTCACAAAAAGGGCTTCACGAACTGCACGCTTACCGAATTAGACAGTCCGCCAAGCAAAGTTTCTTTGACAAAATGGCCGACTCGCGGGCAATGCGCACATCACCTCGCTGACTGGATGGGAAGCCGCTGTCCATCAAAGCGGCGGAGAGGTCAATTACTGTGCAGACATTACATGTTGCTCCTGTGTTGGGGGAGAGGACAGTGCCAAAAATCATGCTCCACCTATAAAACATAGATGTTTGCTAAGTGTGCCAGTATGCTCAGCACTAACTCAATAAGAGACTATGATCTTCAGTTGTGAAAAGTGCTGTGAGGCTTCTACAGCAAAATTAATGCCACAGCACATCACAACTCAAGGCACCAAAAAGGAATCATTACATCAGTGGCCAGCTAAAAATAATCTCTAAAATGCAGATGTACTTTAAGCACTGTAAAGCTCAACACAGTAAAATTCTCACCCAATAGCTCATCAGTTACTTTCGCATCTGATATCTCCAAGGACTCTAAAACCAGCATGGAAAGATCGGCAGCACTGTTCTGCTACAAAACATACACAAACAAGAAGCATATTGTTAGTCATGAAACTCTGCTTAGTTTCTAAAAACAAAGAGATGCTTTCAGTTTTCAAAGGCATATACTAAACAAGCAGCGCTAACCAGTTTTTCAAATGATTCAAATCCTGTGAACAGATAAATGAAGCTGTTCTAGACACAGTAACTATTTACTGGATGTACTATAACCAGCTGTTGTCATTGTTGTTCTTGCTGCTTGTCCTACGTTCTCAAAGAGGACCGTGACATCATGGAGGTGATGCCATGACATGAAAGTGAACTGGGCTGTGCAAAGTCACCAGCCTCACTTTCACCTCCGGAGCCATCTGGGCCCAGTGGCAAGATACAGATCAGGACGACTGGAGATGGCCCAGGATGCAGTGGGGGACCTTGGCCTTTTCCAGCTAAGGTCTTTAACTGGTCTCAGTTCGACAGAGGCAAAGCCCACTCAGTAATTAAGGCTTAATAAGAAATGAGGCAGAGAATGGCCTCTTTACCTAATCAAAAAAAAAAAATTGATCTGGGAGGGGAAGGCCCTTAGGGTTACTACCCCAGTGTAACTGGTTACCATATCAGTGAACAAGTATGAGGTATTTCTAGCTATAATACTGCCACTGTGGCACCCACAAGGGCTGGAGCCAAAGCTGTGAAAGCAGCACAAAATAAAGTGGGGCTCCATTTGGCTGTTATTGCAGATGTGGGTTTCTGTTCAATGGAACAACCAGGTTACTGCTGTCAAAACTGATTCAAAATGGGACAGAATGCACAGCACCAGCCCACGGAGTGCCACCTATTAGTCTTTTTCTTTTAGCATTCACATTTCAGTTTTTTCTAGAACAGAAATAGAAATGAAAAGTCACTTACTTGACTATGACTGAAGAACAACAATGCCCCTGAGTACATCAGTTCTCTTGCCTCTATGTGTTTGCCTTGTGACACGTACCTATAATAATGAAGAAAAACAACACTGAAACAGTCAAGTTATGCAGTGCTGCTACAAATGGACAAGAGGACTGTGTTCCTGACATCATTGACAGAGTCTAACAATTTCATTCAATTCCACAAAACAAAGACTTTATAAAGGCTTAACCACATCTAGAATTTAAATGTTAAACATACACAGGTTTTCAAAGAAGTTATAATTGGGCAGCTAAATGGAACACTGAATAAAGACACTGGGCCTGGACTCATTTTCTGGTCTCAGATGCTTACTAGTTGTGTGACCTTGACAAGTCCCTTAACCCTGTTTGTCTCAGTTTCCTCATCTGTAAAATGAGCTAGGGAAGGAAATGGCAAACCACTCTAGTACATTTGCCAAGAAAACCCCAAATGGGGTCACGAAGAGTCAGACATGACTGAAACAACTAAACAACAAAAAAGCTAGTATCTAGTTTTTATTTATTGCACATACAGCTTTATACCAGGGATGGACATGAAGTCTAAAGACCGAAGTTCAAATCCCACTTATGCCACTTACTGTGTATCTCAGGCAAGTTAATTAACTTCCCTGAGCTTCAGTTTCATCTGTAAAATGAGAGAGTAAGACTATAAAATGTCTAAGGCTCCTTCTACCTCTAACATTCAGAGATTTTTTTGAAGCACCATAAGCCCCTAGGAGGCTTTTATTCCCACAGGGCCTCTCTTCCTAACTTAATACTTTTAGATCACCTATAGCTTAGCCCTCAGGGATTGTAATGGCCTTGATCTCTGACACCTACTTGTTAACCAAAAATCTCAAGGGGAGGTCTGAGTTTCTTACACATTGCCAAATGACTTTGCTTGGTGGAGGGAAGGACAATAGTAAGGAAGCAGCACATTCCTATTAATTTAAAAACATTTATTATCTAATATCTATTTGTACATGATACATTTAGATGAAACAAGATCTCTGCCCTCTCCACTTGTACAGTTAGCCACTACAAATCTGGATAAACCATACATGACACAAAGTCAATAGAAGTAAAATATCAAATAAATAGTAGCAGCAGTCAGTCCCAATATATATACATAAAGTACACACTTGGGGAGCAGAATGAACAAGATAGACCTGAGAGTCCAAACCCTGAAAAGAAACAGGCAGAGAAAATAGCCAACTCCATTTTTCATCAGGCCTATAAAGCTGCACAAGTTTTCAGCTATTTGAATGATAGGAGATTGAAAGTTTAACAAGTTGGGGGAATGATATTCTAAGGATAGAAAGTTGCCTTGGGGGCAGGATAATACTAAAGTGAGATTTCTGGATGAAAGAAGATTTAAGCCAAGTATACAGAGGAAAGTACTGGAAATAAATTAGAATATAGAAGGCAAGGAACAGTGGTTTGTTCCGAGTTGGGACAAAGTAACCACTTCCACTAGTACAAGAGCAGTAGAAGTGGCAGAAAGTTGAAAATAAATTGTACTCCACATATTCTCCTCTCCACTTAATTTCCACTCAAAGTTCTACCATGTAAGATAACTGTGTAAGAAAAAGAGAACATCTTTAGCCACATCTTTCAAAACCTTCTGACAAACATTCTTAATCTTGTTTCTTGTTTTAGCACACAGATAAGTAATACTGGAGGTAGTGAGTCAAAATAATAAATAACCATTAGCTAAATGGGAAAAAGTTGGTAAAATCGGTTCATCTCATTTTACTAGGACATATGTAGTGTCCATAAAGATGAATTGCTTTTCACCTCTAAAGAATCTTTCTATAGACTAAAGCTCCTCTAGGTTTCTAAAGATGTAAATGTATTAAATGTATATGGTACTTTAAGGTTTGCAAAGTGCTTTTATATATTACCTCATTTTATCCTTACAATCGCTCTAGGAAGTAGGTGCTCTTATCGTTCCCATTTTATAGGAAAGCTAGGGAGCAGACAAAAGGTAAGTGACTTGCTCAGAGTCATAAAGGCACTAAGTAACTCATTGGAAGATGGTCTTCATTAACAGTTCTGGTAAAATCCAGGATCAACTTCAATTCTCTGGTCCTCTGGTGGCAGCCATAGAATCCATTACATCATAGGGCACAGACTCAAAGTTTCTCTAGCATGCAGAACAGCACCATTTTCTATGGGTTGGGCATGATTCAAGTAACTATAGAAGGCTGCTTTTCTACTATCCTGTATTTCATTTGTGGCCCCTCTCTGGGAACTGTACAGGTAGGAACTGTGAAGATTCTCCACTAGCACAGCTTTTGAAACCAGAATCACCTCAAAAACAAGATGAAGCATTACAGTAAGACTTCAATGAAGAATACTCTGTAAATACAAGATTAAATAAGAGTGACATCATATCTGTGAAAGCAGGAAACTGTCTTCATACTTAATAGTCTGCTTACAGGATAATAAAATAGGTTGCCTACTATATGTCACTATGCCACCACACAATTACAACAGCAAATTTACCTACAGAGAGAAATCAGTTTGACTATACACAAAAGAATTAGTGTGTTTTCCTTTATTTCTATGAGTACTGCCTCTTCTAGTTCTTTGTCAAGATATTTTTAAACATCATTCCGCAATTAACAATAGCATATAAATCCATATACTCATTTTAACTTAATGTAAACCCATATACTCTTATATCCTCTTAGTTACTGACCTATGGGAAATAGCCAAAGTCTTTTAACTTTCCATTTAATCTGGGACCTAAATATTGCCACATATTAGGGGGGAAATCTACTTACCTGTAGTGAGAAAAGAAAAACATTAAATCAAGTAAACATCCAAAATGCCTTTAGTTGTTTTGCTGCCATGCTGGGGGTGATGTAGGAATTTAAGGAAGAAATTCAAGAAACTTGGGTATAGGTCTACTTTACCTACCAGGTTCCATTCCATCAATGAATGATTCAGTATAGTCAGAAAGTTCAGTAAATACAGGATCAAATAAGAATAATGAAATATGTCTGTGAAAGCAGGGGGGCTGTCTTTATATTTAATAGTCTGCTTATAAGATAATACAGTATTTTTACTACAAAGGTAATTTATTTTCTGTCATCAGATCTCACAATTGATTTATTATGTATTTAGTATGGTCATCTGATATTTTAAAATACACTGTATATAACGCGCTATAGATGTTAAAGGATCACTTAGCAAACACTACAAGATCTTAGAAGACTGACAAAACTACTATGCAGCACCTCTCTGGGGTAATTTTTAGAAAGATTATTTGCATTTTTCAGTGCCAGGTGGCCTTTTAAAACATTTAACCACACACAGTGATTAAACTAAAAATGCAAACCTCTTTCATACTTTTAGATCATCTCTGAAGAATCTGGCTACAGAAGGAGATACTCTTTCAAAAATATCACAGGGAAAAATTATATTAAGAAAAAGTAAAACCTAGTAGTTTGGGCCAACTTTAGGCTCTAATTCTCACACAAAAGGATCAATATGCACAAACAAAAGAAGCAATGTGCCAGAAATCTGGGATCAAGTACAAATATCTAAACCATAACCATTTATACAGATAACTGTCAACATGAAGAATTTGTAATTTGTAAAGGAATCCACATAAGATATATCCTAACTTTGTGCTCCCCAGAACTACACAGTTCCACAAGGTATCCACCCCTAGAAGTTCTAATATTAAAGACACTATGGTAAATGTGAATGTTAAATTACTTACAGTGAATCAATAAGATACATCAGCATACTCATTGGTAGATATGAAAAAGACAAATACAAAGATTCCTTTACTCTAAAAATATGAAAACCATCTTTTCAAGTATAGAATCCGTCGACAGTCACTCATCATTAGGAACATTTTCACACTCAACTGGTAATGACTGAGCTCTTGAGGTCACTGGTACTTTCAGTTATTTTTCTATTTGAAGATAATGAGTATAGTAACTGAAATTTTTGTGCTGATCCTTCAGTGAGTTAAGAACGAAACAACTAGGTGGTACAGTAGATAGAACAACAGCCTTGGAGTCAGGAGGGCCTGAGTTCAAATCTGGCCTCAGACACTTGACACTTTACCTGTGTGACTCTGGGCAAGTCACTTAACCTTGATTGCCTCACCAAAAAAGAAAAAAAAAAAGAATGAATCAGGTATTCATCTTAGAATGGAGTAGATAAAGAAAAAGGCCCACAAATTAAACACAGGACAGCTGACAGTTTTATATAGTTACTTGAATCACACCTAATCCATAGAAAATGCTGCAGACTACTCTGAAATGCTCTCTGATCCTAAACGTATGAGCCAGTAGTTCTGACCCTTTTTTTTAATTGACATACCCTATTAGCTTGATTTCATTACAACCCAAACACTATATAACATGCACTTATTTCTTCTTTAAAAATAAAGTTAAATGACAATGGATTTCGGGGACACTTTCTCAGATCCTTAAAATCTCTCAAATCTCTCCAAAACAGGAATTATGTACTTGAGATAAGGCAATTTCAGGAAGAAACCTACTAGTCTTACACCCCAAGGAGGCCATTAACGAGAAGAAAGTTCCCAAATATGCCAAAATATTTATAGTAGGACTTCCTGTGGTAGCAAAGAATTGGAAACAAAATTCATCAACTGGGAAATGGCTAAACAAGTTGTGGTACCTGAATGCAATGTAACATTACCATTCTGTGAGAAATGACAAACATAATAAAGAGAAGCATAAAAAAATCTGTATGGACTGATGCAGAATGAAGTAAACAAAGCTAAGAAAACAATATACAAAATGACTACAACAATGTAAAAGGAAAGAACCACCAAAAATAGAAATTTAAAATATGAATGTTACAAAATTACAAAGAATAACCATGGCTCCAAAAGAGAAATATGAAAAGATACCCCAAAAGATATCCTTGGAAGATCCACTAAAGTGGTGGTATATTGCACATATTTTCAGACTTTTCCAATGTAGATGAGTTTTGCTGATTTTTTTCCTCTTTTGTCTTTACAAATATTATTTGTTATGTGGGATGGTTCTCTGGGTGGGGGAGAGTAAAGATACTGGGGAAATTTTGATAATGTAAAAAAATACATCAATAAAAATTTATTTTAAAAATAAAATTAATTAAAATGTATCTATTTTGAGAATTTCAAAGCTGAACCATTGGGAATCATCCTGGGATCACTGATCTAGGGTCCTAAAATTGGAATCCAAACTCAATATATTACTCAATTTTCTTACCTATGTCACCACTACTATAAGGTATGGTCTACCCTTAACTGAGTGTATCTATTTAATAACTGTAAATTAAACACTCTTAGTAACTTCAGATTCAATTGAAAGTAAAGAACAAGCTAAAAATCCATGTAACTGCTTTTCAGAAAAACAACAGATATGAAAAAATGCTTGTGTAGAAATCAATCTCAATTAAAACTTTGAGGTTCACTTACTCTGATTATAACTGACACTAACATTTACTGAAGATGCCTGATTGCCACAGAACTAAAGCCAATTTTAAACATAAATAAGGACATACTATCATAATGGATAAATAGCTAGTCTGTCCCCCGATACCCTAAAAAGGTGTGTACTAGCTAACACACAACCAAGTTTAATGTCTAAACACCTACTTAGTTTCCTTTTTTTTTTTTTGAGGGGGGAGAGGGGAATCAACTTTATTAAGTCACCAACAACCCCCTCCCATTTGTCAGATAATAATATTTAGCTTCAAATGTTAGCAACTATAAGCACAATGCATTAGAGTTTGTGGTTTCTACCAGGAGACTAATTAAATAAGTTGTTTTAAACTACTGGGAAACACTATTCTCATGTAAAACTAAAAATAGCTTTATTTTTAAAGAGCAAAAAAATGTTTTGTAGCAGAATGATAAAAACATTAAATGTAGCTTAGTTTGTAGAAATTTCAAAGCTACCAGTCAAAAACTATTTAGATGTTACAATGGTTTTTTAAAAATTGCTTTCAGTTTAAGACCAAATGGAGAGATTAACATTCTTTTTTATCATAGGGCTGCAGATATTCCATAGGAATAAGCAGGTTATTTGAAAAACTTCTTAGAAAAGAAAATATGGGCCTGATCACTTTATCTGGACAACCCTCCTTTTTTATTTTCCTTCAACAAATATGAAGAATTGCACTTACAAAGCTTTTGGTGGCACATAAATTGGCAGCTTTTGTAATGCTAGCAGTTCAGATTAAATATCACTTCAGTAAAATTCACTTAATTACTTATCGTAAAAGGAAACAAGCTCAAAATGTCTCTGGAACATAATCTAAGAGCACATTAGACAACACTGCTTACTAAGTTCAAATTAATAAACAAAACAGAATTTAAGTGAAAACATGTTTTTAAAAAAAAACCCAAAATACTATTCTTACTTTACAATTATGTTGATGCAAGTTGGGATAAGCAACAAAAATGGGTACAAATGAGCTTTAAAATTTGTACCGCTTTTGAGCAATGGCAATTTACACTGTGTACAGTATAAGCCAAATCCTATCACAGTAAGAATCACTATGACATATTTCCAAGTTCTAATCAATGCCCACTTAACTTACTTTTAACTCATATTACAAAAATTCCAGTACAACCAACTGAGTTCATGTAACCCCTCTAAATTACAGCAAGACTAGAACTGACCCTAAGATAAGGGATTTTAAGCTTGTATGGTTCAGAGATTATCTTCTCTAATCCAACCTATTAGTTTTGGGTTTGGTGTTTTGGGTTTTTTTTCACTATTTTTACAGATGAGGAAGCTTGAGGCCCAGAAAAGTGACACGAGCACTGGATCTGGAGTTAAGGTATCTCAGTTCTATACAAAAATGCTACTTAATACCAGAGTGATGACTTTGGGCAAGTCCTTTTAGTTCTTTGGGCTTAACCTTTCCTGCTCTAACTCTACGATGCTGGTCAGTAACCAGATAAGAAATTGAACCCAAGTCCTCTGAAGCCAAATCCAAAGCCCTTTTGACTACCCAGTATTAATCTTAAAAGAAAATTCCTATGGCCAAATTACAACAAATACACACATATTCTTCCTGGTTTCAACTACACTTATAAAAGATGGCAGTGGATAATAGAGGAAAGGATTTTAAAACCAATCTGATTATTTTGGGGGGAAACTGCATTTTAACTATCTTTGAAGAAAACTATTTATGATTAAGGTTTTCCTCAAGGAAAGCAGTGCTAAGACCAAAAGGACCATGATAATTTCAAATACACATTCTCTTTTATTTTGGAGGTCAACGAAAAAACAATTTCTAATACTAGTTTAGTCTTGCCCAATCAACACAGATCCCTTGAGAAAGAATAAAAATCTCACAAAGATGACCTAAACCATGCTTGCACAGTATTTCACAAACCCTAATCACCGTCAACTGATGCCTTGCGTTAAAGAAATTAGCCAATTAAATTCTGCAAGGCTGATGGGCAGGCCTTAACACACCTTATAAGCTACTCAGAGATGAACTAACGCACGACCACCAAGAATAAGGGCAGGGGAGAGTCTACATATAACAAACTTTTCACCCTGTTTAAACTCAAAAGCCCCTGGAGAGAGAAAAACGGATTTTCTTGGGGAGGGAATGGCGTGGGGCTCTCGGCGTGGGAGGCTGACAGTCGTTTCTCTCTCCTGGACCCGGGCAGGGTTATGGATGGTAACCGACATGGGAGGATGTCAGGGAGAAGGCGGCCGGCCCCCACGGACTGCGATGGTCCTGAAATGGGTCAACCAACAAAATACATGCCCGCTCTTGATATCCCAGAAGCAAAGGGATACAGACCCTGGGAAATTCTGCCCCTCACCCCACGCCCGGCCCGTGGGCACAGGCCTGGCGAAAGGGCAGGGGGCTAGTCACTGAGCTGGGCCTGGGGAGAGGGAGGGGCCCTCAGGCTACCTGCAGAGGTCAAGGCCGGGAGGAGGCTGAGGGGGTGGGGTGGACCCACCCAGCGTTTTGAGGCCCCAAAGGCGGTACGCGGCTGGGTCAGGGTAGGAGACCGGCACCCCTCCCGGCCTGGCCCTGGAAGAGGGGCCCGGAAGGCCCATTCCCCATCCCTGGACTCCCCTTTAGGGATCTCTCCGGCCCTGATCACACTAACCCCGGGCCTCTACCCCCCCCACACACACGACAGGCATTCGCACGAGCCAATGAGAGGGCGGGCTGCTTTCCATTCCGCCAATAGAGAAAGAGAGGAGGGCGGTGCCGGTGCCAGGTTAGGTTGACGAGGCGGAAAGCTCTGGAAAGCATAGGCCGGCGCCCCGAGACAGGCGGGTCGCCCTCCGGCCGGCCGCGAATTCCGGCTACCTGAAGAACAGGGTCCGGTACATTTGGTGCGCCTCATAGTACTCGCCCTTCTCGACACTAGCGCGGAGCTTGCCCTCCACCCGCTGGACCCCGCCCCGGTTCCGGGCGCTGTTCCGGGCGCTGTCCTGCTCGGCCATCGCCGCAGCTGCTGCTGCCATCCCGGGGGCCCGCGCAGAGAGCAGGAGCTGAGGCTGCCGCAGCCCGTAGTCACTCTCCAACCTCCCCGGCTTCCGTCCTGGCGGCGGCCCGAGGGCTTCTACGGTGGCTTGCAGGGAACAGTCGAAGGCGCTTCAGCGGGCGTGTCGGCTATGTGCCATTCCACGTGACCTCATGGGAGGGGATGCGGCGACGACGGCAAAGGGAGGGAGGAGGCCGACTGGGGAGGGCCGCATCCCAACAGAGGAGGAGACGGGGGCCGGAGGAGTGGAGTGACGTCACAATCTCCATGTGTGAAGGCGGTGGCGCGCAGGGGCTGGAAAGGACCGTGCGCCCACTTTCCGAGAACTCGGCGGCTGCAGAGTCGTGAGATAGACGCCTCTGAAGTTGCTTCAAACCTCGGCCAGCGCCCTCCTCCCCCTCCCCCACACCCGTACGGGTCGTGCTTTGTGCTCTACTTCGGGGTCCTGGGCGGCCCACCTAGAACCGTCCGTCCCCTGCCAGTGGCCAGAGCTGAGGCTCCGCCGAACTAATCAGACACTTCTCCAAGGAGGCCTTCCCTGCTAATCCGGAGTCTGTCTTGATCTGTTACTTAGATGTTTCTTCCCTATAATCTTGCGTACATCTGCCACTCACCCCTATAGATTTAGGATTAAATAACGAAAAAAACAACTTCCCATTTAATCCTACACTTCTGTAGTACTACTAGGGCTTTAATTCGTTCATCTTTCCTTGTAAACGGTAAAACTCTGCGTATTTAGAGTTTTTCCTAGTCACCATCATGCGCAGCTATAAGACAATTCGAATATCATTAAACGAAAATGTTTTTCTCTATTTTTGCTATTCCACCAGTGTCTTCAAACTGTTAATGCATAAACAATGGCTGAGGATAAAGACAAGCAGGTAGTCATTTCCCTAATGGAAAAAGGTATCTTTGCAAAAGTAGTATGCCCCCTTTTGGTTAGAGAAAGCAAATTCAAAAAAGAGATGACTAAAGAATAAAATGTGTATAAAAAGTTTGTTAGCCGCTTAAATTGCCATTTTGTAGTGCTATTAAAATAAAACTCAGAAGCAGTTTCCTAATAAGGCTTATCATTTTTCCCTCATACATAACTGTTGCTTGATATACTCAATTCCAAAATAAAACTACTATTTCCTATTTTTTCAGTATTTACTACATACTTCAAAAACATAAATCCATGTAAATCACTGCCATATTTGTATGAAAACATATATCCAAAAAGGTATACACAAAGAAAAAACAGTGAGTCCTTTGACAATACAGGTTAACCCAGTAGAACAAATAGCAGTAGTTTAAATATTATGGTGTCTATAGTTTCCACTTTGTGTACACACAAAGCAATAAATCTCAACTTCATCATTCAGTTTTATATGAAATGTCATTTCATAATGTGGTACAGTGAAAAGAACAGTGAGGGGATCCAGGTTCTAATCACTGGGAGTCTTAATTTCCTGTTGGGACAAATCACTTAATATCACTGGGCCTGAGTTTCTTCTGAAAAAGTGGAGAATAAGACTGTTTTTCAGCTCTGACAGTTGGTGATATATTCTATATCCTGGATTGAAAGTAATTTTAAGAGATTACCTAAATATTAGATAGTACAAGAAAGCCCTACTTCTGTTTATTTATGGTTACATTGTAATACTTGAGACTTCTGTATAAACCATATACTAAGCATCTTCGTAACCAGTGCTCAGTATTTAAGAAACTAAGTCAAAGTGCTATCCTTGGGGACAATTGTTCAAGATAGCTTTTTTTAAGAGGAATCCTAAGGAGAAGGGGGAGGATTTGGTAAGGGAATATACTTCTGATATAAAACATTTATTCTGTGTTTGACCTAGATGAACTTAAATCTGATGTGTGCTTGTATTTTAGTTATTTGTTCACATTATCCAATCATTTGTTGCGTCAGGATCCCCATGCCAAGACCACCCCTCTATTTTTACTCCTCTCTTTTTACTATTAGGAGACACCCTGTTTTCCAGAGCTGAGGCCCAGTCCTTTGTGTTAACCCTCTGGATGAACTCAGCCACAGCAAAATCCCAGAATTGTTTCACACCAGCCCCAGGTGATCCCTGAGCCTGGAGAACACCTGCAGGACCCCATGTTCTGGTCATGAAGCCCTGCTATGAATCAAGTTTGTATCATTTTTGCTGTTACCCCTCGCTGTCATTGTCACTTCATAGCAATCAGCATGTGTATTCAGATTTGCCCACACTACAGCGGTTCTCAGTATCAGAGGAGGCCCAGACACATGTGTCTAGTTTCTTTCCTCCAATGAAATAAAGATTTTGCTTATGACTACTGTTAGCTCTTTAGTTTTATTTTGTTTTTATTTATCTTATTTTTCAGAGTTAACTGTGGTTGTTATAACCTATGTGACCTCTTTGGTATTTTCAGTTAACAACTGTTGCATAACCTCTGTGATTCTTTGGTCATTTGTTTTCAGAATTGACAGTTCTTTGCGTTACTGATACATAAGCTGAAAGAAAGGATTTACTAAGTGTCTATTGGATGAATAGTATCAATTTAAAGTTATTAATTAATAGACCCCTCACATTCTGTGGCAGAAGTAACATAAACTGAGAAAAGAAATATACTCTTTATTATTAATTTGAAATATTACATGCACTTTTAAAAATTACAAACTCTTTATTTAAACATCTCAATAGCATCTTGTGAATTTGGAGGCAGCAAAAGAAACACTACCAAAGACAAATATTTTGAAAAGCATTTACAAAAATACATTGCACAAAGTCCTATCTCGCATCTTTAAAAATAAATTAGTATTCAAAATATTCCCATCCCAGTCCCCAAGCTTAATTTACACAGGATAATTTTGATTTATGTATTTAACCTATAATATATGAAATACCTGTACATATTTTATCCAACTTCTCTGTATAGGCATTAGTTTGACTTCTAAAAACGGTGAACAAATGCTAATTTATGGAGTTTTTAAATACATTTGAGGACTGTTGTGCAATATACATAAAACTCTATTCAGAAAACCAGTCAGCACCATCATTTTAAGCCTTTTTTTGAAAATACAATACATATGACAGCACAAGTGGCAATCACAACCAGATAAGCCTCTAAGATCAATCAAGCAGGAATGCTGCATGCAGTGTATAATATAATGCAAATCCCAATTATATCCAGTAAAAATGTTCTTGTAGGGAAAAACAAAGGCCTTAAAATGTAATAATGGCAGCTGAACTTGCTTGCTACTTTAGCTAATACACTTTCAGTATCATGTGACCAGTGGAATACAAATACAACTGTTAACATATCAGTGTCTGTTCTACAGTAGAATTCAGAACCAAAATATTCTACTTTTTTCAGATCCTAATTTTATCTTCTTAATGTGTAACCCAGACTAAACCAATTAACTTAATTGGAATAAGCATCATTCAGACCTGAGATCTGAGTTGTCTTTTTAAATCTAGTTCATCCTTAAAACTAACAAATAAAATTTCTTTATTTTGCTCAATCAATATTAGGAGATACTATTTACTTTGAAAAACTGGCTCAAGAATAAGAGCAAACCAAAACAAATTTGAAAGGTACTGCTTCCTCACCTAATCTCTATCCCATCCCACCCCCCTCTCCCAACCCACAAAGATAATATAGTAAAGTAAAGTAACATCTGTGTCTGGGTTAAGGCAAGTGCTCACTAATCCTGAAGAATAGGAGTTTAAGCTGCTGATAAATAATTAAAGACATTTTGGTTGCATTATTTTTCCCTGACAGTAATACGTATAAGGCTTAATAGATGAAATACATATACCAAAAAAAGTCCTCAAAATCTAATGAAAAAGCCAAAGTACTGGGATTAAAATCTTAAGGAACCTTTTAATATTTACTTGCCTTGTTCCTGATGCCAGGCAAATACAAGTGTGTAGATGAATTTATGTTAAAATAGATTCTAAAGTTGAAAAACAAAAGTAAACGGTTTTGCTAACAATACAATTCAAACTTCATACAAGAAACATCACCTGTTCTGCTAACTGATCTTTGTGAACCAGAGTATTCGGCATGCAGTTTCTCAGCGAGACCATTTGTTTAAAAAAAAAAAGCTGTCAATAGCAAGCTGAGCATCGGGAACATTTTATCAGTTGAATTTTCAGGTACTGTCTTTCTGGCAGTCTTGTGAAGTTTATTATAAAGGATAATTTTGTCCTGCGGTAAAACATGCCCTCATCCAGTGTTTCAGGTTGTTTGATATATACAAAAATGTACAAGAAAAATAATGTGGACAGTATTTTTACTTGAGTTCTCCATGTACTCTGAATCGATAGAGACATGTGTACTCAGGATGGCCCCAATTAGAAAAAATCCGAAGTTCCACAATCTGGAAAGCTTTTCCAGGGCTCTTCTTAAAAAGAAAACAGAAAGAAACTTGCATTATTTCATATTTTTAACAAAAAAAAATTCATCAATCATTTATATTGAGAATCAGGATACAGAGAGGTTTGAGTCCTTGAAACCTTGAGTTAACAACCTGAATTTCTTCATCTCTACCTGAGCTACTTCAAGGGGTCCTCAAATCAGTAAGAGAGATATATATATATATATGAAAGACTATCATTTTGTTCTTTACTTAGCTCCCTCAAAATATGCAGCATCAATGTCACTCCTCTCATATGAGCTCCGATACATGTTTAATGTTAAACAAAGGAAGAATTCACTCCAAAGTTCAAGAAGCTGGGCTAGGAGGGTTCCAGAGTAAAATGCTATGATTCATTTCTTTCAGCCAAGTCAGAATTTATTTTTTATATTTAAAAAGTGAACTGTCTCACAACTGAGTTAATAATCTAAATTAAAAAGTCCCTAAGAGGCAGTATGGCATAGGTCTAAAAGACACTGCAGCTACTGATGCATACCTAAGGATACCTGTGGGCTGCATACATCCTGACTTAGTTTTAAAATGTAGATGATATTTAAGTTTAATTGTACTTTTATTTATTTTGTTAAATATTTCACAATTACATTTAAATCTGGTTGGTCCCACTCAGGAGTGTTGTTGGCCTTGTGTTTTTTTTTTTGTTTTTTGCTAGGCAATGGGTTTAAGTGACTTGCCCAGAGTCACACAGCTAGGAAGTGTCAAGTGCCAGAGGCCACATCTGAACTCAGGTCTTTCTGACTCCAGGGCCAGTGCCACTTAGCAGCCCGCCCTGGCTTTGTGTTTGAAGCCTCTGGCCCAGAGGACAGAGTACAGGTTTCAGTGTCAGGAAAAACCCAAGTTACTACTTGACACACCCTGACTGTGTGACCCTGGGGGCAAACCACTTAACCTCCCAGTGACCTTCCTGTAAATTGTAAAGTTGAAGAGCAGACACCAGTATGCATTGGGAGAATACTCCCTATACCAATGAAATAACAGTGAAAATAAAGCCATTAATAACAACTTGGTTATTAGTCACAGCCTTGCTTATAGTATCAGCCTAATAATTTCAGGGTACTTCACCAACATGCTCTAAAATATAATCTTTTCAAAGTGGAAAGTTCCAAATACATTTACTTCCCAATGGCAAAACATCAGACTACTTGCTGGGGTTGGTGTTTAGAAACAGCCAAATGTCCTTATTTTGTGAATTTGCGTATATACACGAAAACCTAAAATTCAGCTACACTTGGCATATATATGGAGTGTCCTAAAACTCTTAGTGCAGTTTTAAGCTTTAGGAAACTTATCTATAACACATCTAAATTATCTGTACATGAAGGCCCTTACCATTGCTTGAAATATCTGAAGTGATTCTCCTTCTTGATCATAAACAAACTGTCCTAGAAGCATTCCTTCTTCTTGATGTTCACTGTCTAAACCCTATAACCAAGAAGATAGAGTTGTTAAATGAGAACACTCTCTGTTTGCCAGAATTTTTTCAAACATTAAGTTTATATGAAAAAGAAATCAAGAAATAACTAGCCAACAAGCCATGTCTTATTCAGGAGGTCAGAAACTGACAGGTACACTTTTCCCAAGTTTACCCAAGTGTCAGAAATATTGGTATATCTGGATTAGGAATCTGATGACCTAGATTCAAATCCCAGATTTTAGAACCACATGTCACTTTACTTCTCTGGGAGGAAGTTTCCTTATCTAGACAAGATGACTTATCTCTAAAGTACTTTGCAATCTAATCAAAGTCTCACAGCAATTTGATCTTTATAGCATACCACATATGGAGAAGAAGCAAACACCTTTTAGTTTTGACACATTGTTTATTTTCTGGTGAAAGTATTCTAGTGTTTCTTACATTTATAGTACTTTTATTCAAATAGGAGTTAAAGAGTAAAGGTTGAAGGAGGGTGAGAGTTCATCCTGCTAGTGGCCACTAAATGTAAATTTGGCCACAGGAGTTGCCATTTCCTCTATCTTGCCTCCCACCCCCCACCCCCCAACTCCCATCACTGGTCAGCTCTGGGCAAAGTCTGAGGTGGTTTAGGAAACTGGGAAGAGTAAACTCCCTGAAGCTGCTTCTCCCTCCACTAAGGCTTGGCCTAGTGAGGGGACACCTCCCTACTCCTGATTCCTACCCAAACCCCTCCATTCTCTTCTTCCTAGAGTCCTGGGGTTCTTAGCCTGGGACTTGTTTTTTAAACTGTTTTGAAAACTTTCAATAAAACTTATTTCCTTTGTCATCCATCCTTTGTATTTAATTTTATGCATTTAAAAACATTATTCCAGGAAGGGGCTCACAGGCTTTACCATACTGTCAAAAAGGTCCACGACACAAAAAAGGTTAGGAACCCTTGCTATAGTCTCGCTTCTATTCCCAAGTTCCCAGAACACCTGAATCTGCCTTTTCTCTAAAAAGTAGATGAATATTAGTTTTGTCCCTTACGTACCTAATAGTACTTCCTTACAAATTTTGTCTATAATATCTATCAAAAAAGAAAAAATTAAGGTAACATAAGACACACACTTTTAAACTTGGCTATTACTAGCAAAGACAAAAAGCAAACCAAAAAACCCCTTAAGACTATTATAGATGTGCTCCTGGTAACCCAAGTTGGTACTCTCAATTCATTTTCCCTTGAAAACACTGTTAAATGAAATGGCTAGGTTCTATAGTACAAGACTACTACGTATACATCTACCACACTGCGGGTTAATAGTCCTTGTGGGTGGCATAGGTTTATCAAACACTATCCTCTAAGTTCCAAGTGAGAAACAATTTATTTCTAAGGTAGATGCTGCTTAGCTGACTTTCAATTTCTCCAGCTTTTGTCAT